TGAAACTCCTGGGAGGCTGGAAGGAGAGGTGCAGTCTCATGAATGTAATCGTCGGGGAGTTCTAGTAATCGTTTGGCTCCAGACTTTTTCTGCCCAATATTGCACTGCGTGGCATAAAAAGAAGGTATGCTCGTCGTTGCTCGCGCACTTACATCGTGAGAGGGTCTTCCAAGTTGACTGACCCTTTGGTGAGCCACCCGAGGGTAAAATTTTTAGAAGGATGTTGCCATTTCAACTTGACTCACCCTTTTGTGGGCCATGCAGGGGTAAAATTTAGAGAAGGATGTTGCCATTTCAACTTGACTCACCCTTTTGTTGGCAGGGGTAAAACTTAGAGAAGGATGTTGCTCTTCCAAGTTGACTCACCCTTTGGTGAGCCACCCGAGGGTAAAATTTAGAGAAGGATGTTGCCATTTCGACTTGACTCACCCTTTTGTGGGCAGGGGTAAAATTTAGAGAAGGAAGTGGTCATTCCAAGTTGACTCACCCTTTGGTGAGCCACCCGAGGGTAAAATTTAGAGAAGGATGTTGCCATTTCAACTTGACTCACCCTTTTGTGGGCAGGGGTAAAATTTAGAGAAGGATGTTGCCATTTCAACTTGACTCACCCTTTTGTTGGCAGGGGTAAAACTTAGAGAAGGATGTTGCTCTTCCAAGTTGACTCACCCTTTGGTGAGCCACCCGAGGGTAAAATTTAGAGAAGGATGTTGCCATTTCAACTTGACTCACCCTTTTGTGGGCAAGGCAGGGGTAAAATTTAGAGAAGGAAGTGGTCATTCCAAGTTGACTCACCCTTTGGTGAGCGACCCGAGGGTAAAATTTAGAGAAGGATGTTGCCAATTCAACTTGACTCACCCTTTTGTGGGCCATGCAGGGGTAAAATTAAGAGAAGGATGTTGCCATTTCAACTTGACTCACCCTTTTGTGGGCAGGGGTAAGATTTAGAAAAGGATGTTGCTCTTCCAAGTTGACTCACCCTTTGGTGAGCCACCCGAGGGTACAATTTAGAGAAGGATGTTGCCATTTCAACTTGACTCGCCCTTTTGTGGGCATGGTAAAATTTAGAGAAGGAAGTGGTCACTCCAACTTGACTCACCCTTTTGTAGGCCATGCAGGGGTAAAGTTTAGAGAGGGAAGTGGCCATGCCAACTTGACTCACCCTTTTGTGGACCCATGCAGGGGTAAAATTTAGAGAAGGATGTTGCCCTTCCAAGTTGACTCACCCTTTGGTGAGCCACCCGAGGGTAAAATTTAGAGAAGGATGTTGCCATTTCAACTTGACTCACCCTTTTGTGGGCAGGGTAAAATTTAGAGAAGGATGTTGCCCTTCCAAGTTGACTTACCCTTTGGTGAGCCACCCGAGGGTAAAATTTTGAGAAGGATGTTGCCATTTCAACTTGACTCACCCTTTTGTGGGCAAGGCAGGGTAAAATTTAGAGAAGGAAGTGGTCATTCCAAGTTGACTCACCCTTTGGTGAGCCACCCGAGGGTAAAATTTAGAGAAGGATGTTGCCATTTCAACTTGACTCACCCTTTTGTGGGCAAGGCAGGGGTAAAATTTAGAGAAGGAAGTGGTCATTCCAAGTTGACTCACCCTTTGGTGAGCCACTGGAGGGGTAAAATTTAGAGGAGGAAGTGGCCATTCCATCTTGACGACCCTTGTAAGTGAGCAAACATGCGGGAAAGGGCCTGTGTGCGCACTTGAGTCTCCCCGATGGACTGTGTGCGCGCATGAGTCAAATCAGTGTGCGCAGATGAGGCGCAAGTGCTAACAAAATGTGTGTGCGCAGATGAGCCGCCGCCCTTCCAATAAAGCCCCGCGACAATTACATTCTTCACTAAGCCCCGCGACAATTACATTCTCCACTAAAGCCCCGCGACAATTACATTTTCCAATAAAGCCCCGCGACAACTACATTCGTTAGCATAAAAATAAAAACCCTCAGCATAAAAATAAAAACCCTCAGCATAAAAATAAAAACCCTCAGCATAAAAATAAAAACCCTCAGCATAAAAATAAAGACCGTTAGCATAAAAAAAAGAACCCACCCAAATCCAGCATAAAAAAAGAACCGTTAGCATAAAGAAAAAAACTATTCCCCTTGTAATGACCGCATGAGAGGAATTAGGAGGTGAAGTGTTTATGGCAACTATAGTGGGATTCCAAATCCAGTTGCATCTCTTGCTGCACAGTTGGTTCTAGATTTGTTGGCAATGTTCTAAGTAAATGTGATCACAATTGTTGGAACAATCCACAACAATCCACAACACCCCTATAATAGTCGTCAAGAAATTGTCTCAGTCACGGGTGTGCTCCAAACCTTGTGGTCAATATGCTCGATCCAAACAATCATGTTATATATGCTCGATCCAAACAATCATGTTATGGGTGTGCGTCCTTGTGTCTTCATTATGTTATATACAATATGATAGTCAGCTTCCAATGCTTAGGAATGCTGCCCACACGCTTCTCGGTTCCCCTTTCGCTTCGACGGAGCTAGTGGCCAGGAGATTTGAAGTTCCAGGAGGGGTCGTGAGTCGTTGGACGTTGGATTCTATGACACAAAACTTGAGCTGTGTTCCTCACCCTTTTCCATGTTTATATGTCTTAATCCAGAATGTTGGTGTTTGGTGTGTGTTTGATGAAATACGATAGAACATGATAGAACCTGTATATAGAGTCTTGGGTGGCTAAAAGAAGGTACATTGACTATTCATATGTTCCATATGTGTTCCGGCGGCCCGTCGCTCGCAATTCAACTGTCAGGTTTGTTATACAATGTTCTTGACTTTTCCGGATGTGTTTTTCTGGTTCGTTTCCTCGCAGACCATCCGGGGATGTGGCGGTTAGCTAGCTATATATGTGTTTATAGTCAAGACGCCCGTGTATAGTCAAAGAAGGTAAGGAAGTCGCGATATTCGATGTTGTTGCAGTATGTTGCATTCGGAATTCCAAAGAATGTCAAATCGTGCATTACCTACAGCCTTTAATTGATAAACATGATCAACTCAACAGCTGCTGAAGGAGGGAGTTCTGCACTAGAAGTAGGAGAGATGCAAGTAGAAGCTGGCTGAACCTTCACTAGTTGGTGCAGGGTTTCTTCCTTCAGCTATGCTGCTGATGTAAGAAACTATGAAATCAAATCTTGCCTCCCCAAACCAGCACTCCTGGACTCCCCTAACATAGAGGTCTTTGGAAGAACTTGGTCGATGGGTCCAGGGAAAAATACAAACAACGCCCAGAGTGAGACAGGATTTCGTTCAAACAAGGACGCTACCAGGGGCTCCTGGCCTTACTACCAGGACCAAGGACGCTACTAGGGGCTCCTGGCCTTATGAACGGAACAGGGCACCACTTGGTTCTTCATCCGCACACCGACAGGAGGCCCCTGGCCTGGAGAACAAGCCCCAACTTTCGGCCATGGGTTTGACCACCGGCTCCGTGCGCTGAAGAAACGGCGGACGAAACGGCGGAAAGTCACCCGCGCCGGCGCCCGTGTGGTGCGGTTCACTGGCCCAAGAGCGTGGCAACGCTGAAGAGCGATGGCCATTGGATGATGTGGGTCAAGCATATGACCTTTTAGGCCCTTGCTTACTCTCAGTCTCTTAGAGTCGAACAATGAAGGATCACTTGCACAATAATTGGCATACTTACCGCAAGCAGTTGGAGTGCAACGATGCCAGTGTATTTCTAAATGCAGTCTTTGGGTGATAATTACAGAGGCATGTGGTTGGATTATTGTTGGATCATACTGTCCAAGGGTTGAAACAGAGGTCCAGCCCAGCAGACGATGTCCCACACCAGCAGACGAGGTACGCTACACCGACGACCAGCAGATTCCCGCGCTCTTTGGATATCCAGCGACTTGGATGGAGACCTAGACCGCGGACATTGCTTAATGATCGTTAATGATTGATAAGATGTGCTGTGTATTACAATACCCGAACACTCCATGTATGGCATATATGCCTACATTTGGGTTTCAGGGGTCAATGTAGGCATATATAGCATGCATGGAGTGTTTGGGATATGGATAATGAATGCTTGTTCATATATCGGCCGTAGGGACAGCACCTGGAAATCACCCAGTCAGCCCGGGGAAGATCGCCAGTCAGGGGTCCTCTTTTCTATTTAAGCACACCTCATAGGTTTGACATCTCTGTCTTTACCTTACCGATGGACTGCCGGTGTCTTCACGGATATCATCCCGTTGGGACGGATGCTCCACATGGGTGGGTGCATTCAGCAAACGAAGGGAGTCGTCGGGGCTTGGCAAACTCCAAGGCATCTCCCTAAAGCTCCAGTCGTACCTTCTAAGAAGATGTTTGAGTAGGTTCAGAGGGTCCAAATACCTTCTGAGGAGATGGCTGGAGCCCGAGGGTCTCAGATTCAGAGGGCGAATGAATGAGATGAAGCCGACGACTCCTGGGGCCGTAGCCCTCCAATCGGACGGCGGTTCTGGCTGGAAGGCTGGAAGGTGGAAGGGGTCTGCGCCCACTAAACGGTGTCGGGTCCGGGCAATTCCCAAGGAAAAGCCCGAAGATGAATGGATATGAATGGGAGAGATGTATACGGCCCTATTTTATGAGGGATGGTTTAGTATTGATGAACACCTCCTAAGCTGAACCTGAGCCTCCAAGAGGCTGAGACATGAGACGTTCCCTGCCCCGCCCAGGTCTTGAGTGAAGTGGCCACCGGAAAGCTAGAGCACCTGGAGTGGCGGTCCGAAGACGACGAAAACGGCATCGTCCAGTCGTTCGGCAACTCGGGTGGTTGGGAGGGCAACCCGAGCAAAATCGCTCGCGAGATGAATGAATCACCCCATCATCCATCGCAAGAATCCAGCAGATTCTGAATATTGTTGACCTAGCTTCGAAGATTTGCTGCAGCATCTTCAACTAATGAACTAACGTACAATAAACGTCATTAGTCATTAATCATTCAATGGTGGCAAATATTTAAATGTACCCACTGATTCTTTGGGAGAGAACGAGTCTCAAGACATCTTAAGACCCTTCTGAATGAGTAATCATCATTTCCTCAACGAGCTTGTTTTACACTGGAGGTCATGAGTCTGATCAACAACTCCCTTGCACAGGTCGACAAATCCTTCATCCACTCAATCTGCAAACGCTGTCATCGCTGACACAAATATGGCTCGATCCCAGCTTAAAGCTTCTGGGAAAGGAGTAAGGAGAACATATTAATGGAATGGGGTAAGCGAATGCCCCAAAGCATCGAATGATTCGACTGGAGCTCGTCAGGACGTGAGTGAAGCTTTGAAGATCGAGGGTGTGGTGGACGTGGTCACCGCAGCGGACTGGGAAATGACTTTGGGAGTTTTGGAGTGATTTGGTGGAATTCTCGAATCTAGACCTATAGACTGGATGGGCACATGAGTGGTCAACGTATGACCATGTCGGGACGTCCTTGACATCCCGACGAGACATCTCGTTTGACCCGGTTGATCGACGCCTCCAGGACATCCCCGGCAAGAACTGCGCTGGATTCGTTCCAGGCCGTGTGGGCGCGGCGTAGCTTCGCGGCGTTCGGAAGACGCGTGTGGGCGCGAAGCGGGAGCGGGGGCAGGTACCAGGCCCAGTTAAGAGGAGCTAGAGATGCCAGCACCAGCTAGAGACTCCAGGTATGGAATCACAGTCTAAATCATAAAGGATTTATAAGTTGCATTGATACGTACCTCAAAGTATACCGTCAGTCTTCCAGTCGCCTGGAATGTTTAGGGGAGTTTCTTCAGAGAAACAACAACATCAACATCAACAGCAGCAACAAATAGCTTCACTCTGTTCAGTTTCAAGCTGCCATGGAGCTGTACAAAAAGCTCCTTACCCAAGCTAAGCTCAGCTTCCGCTATGGGCGCTCCATGGAGCTGTTTGTTAATTTTGTTCCCACCCGTTTTGTTTTGTGAAATACGGGAAACATACGTGGGGAGAGAACTCCATGTTTGGGGTTATATAAAGTATTGATATGTTTCGTGTGTTTGCTGTTTACCAAATGTTTACTCTCTTTGCCTTCTTCCAGGGGTGTTGTTGCCTACAAGGTCTTGCGATGCACTGTAAAGGCCTACTGGAAGATCCCGACTCTTACATCAAGGATCGCGATACACCGTAGTGAACCGGGATAGCATGACCAAGTGCCAAATCAATCATTGTCCCTTTTGTTCTGCAGGAGAAGAGCCAGTCTTCGCCGCTGGACGGTATTGCAGGAAATCTGTGCGTGTTCTTTTTTTCCCTGGTAAGATGTGAGAGATGAGATATTGCCGGACGTTTTTTTGGAAGGTGAAGAGGCGTTTTCCAGCGGTTGTGGCCATGACTTGGAGAGTCGTAGGGAGCTGCAAAAAGAATGGATCAGGTGACCAGATGAACATGAATTTCTGCAAATGTTCGTCGATGATCTTCAATGAAGGGTGCCGGTACTTGCTTCATCTGGGTTCCATCCCCAATTCAGCCCATCGAAGGGTTATCAGGTTGCCAGATCTGTGCTTGTACATGCAGGCAACAAGAAGTCCATTGGATATTCTGGGCTTATCCTCGCTCACTGCTTTCATTCACTTTTTGTCCATCCCTCACCGACACGGCCGCGCTTGAGCTGAGGTTGAGATTGGCGAGACGCTCGGTGATTGGCGAGTTCTGACAGGCTGCAGGAAAGGCAGTTCTTCTGGTGCACAGAAGTAGGGAAGGCAGATTGCATGGTAGATCCGCCCCGTTCAACCAAGGTTTGTTGGGAACCCCTTGTCTGAACCGTGTGCAATGTTCTTGTTTCAATAACAATTTATAAAGTCAAACCACAGCGACTCGTGACTTGCTGAGCTACAGATGTTGGTCTACCACTTTGTGGAGTGGACCTTCGAGTATGGCTCCGAAACCACACTTCGCAGCTAAGGAAGATCATGACTTCCGGCAACTTGGATTGACATTTATCGCTTCCGCGACGGAGCAGAGAAGATGGCAGAATCCACCAAAAAGGTTGTTCAATAACGTTGGACTCTGGACTCCTATCTAAAAGACTACTTTCTAGGGGATCCTGGGGGTTTGTGCCATCTACTCAGAAACCACTCTAGATACATGGGATACCCAGCCAGGCTGCTGAACAACTACTCCATCCACTTTTTGGAACAATTGTTTTCTATTCGTAAATTGCACTAAACAGTGAACATCAGTGAACTAAGTGAACTAATTGTATTGAACTAAGTGAACTCAACGACGTGGCCGTCCCACATGTCCATTTGAGTCTTCCCACCCACCCCCACCCACCTCTCGCTATGGGACCGGTCGGTTCGCTCCATGGTGAAATGACCGATGGACTCTTAGTATAGCTGGTAGCCAGTAACCAGACTGGCTTATGGTGACCAAAGAGCAACAAACACAGCCATTAAGCCTACATTGTTTCAGCCACCCTAATGAGAGTGTTTGAGATAGGCCGCTTTGACGATGTCCTCTACAAAAGGCTTTTCCACTTTCATGGTGAGTCGCAGTCTAGGCCTCGTGTTTGGTTTAAAGAAAAAATAACTGCCTTTTCACTAACCTCTATCCGACTTCATCCTTCAACCTGTTCGCAGGTCAACAGCTGGCGCTGGTGGTGGCGGATTCCTATCGCACGGCCAAGCGAGGCGCTGGCGCGGTGCAGGTGAAGATCGCCAACGCCAACGAAGGCCCCGACAGACGACGGGCGGGAGGGCGGGCGAGCGGATGGTCCGATGAGCTGCAAGACAGAAGGATTGGAGATGGGGTGGTCCGGAGTTGTAGTTCCTCTCTGCATGGGAGGAAAACGTCCCATGTAAAACGTTTGATGCTGGTGGCATGTTGCAAAAACCATATTGGATCCAAACACGAAAGCCCTAAGTCCGATGCGACGTTCGGAAGACATTGGATGAAATTGGCACTGACTTGATGGTGCATTGAGGCGAGTGTCAGAACTGGATTTAGCAGATTTTGTTTCTTGGAAGCTGTATAGACTCTTTGGCTAGCGCCTTGCAAAATGCGTCGCTGCTGCTAGAGCCTTCCAAAATGATATCATATAAGTCGAAAAATAGAAACACCCAGAACATGATTGGCTGTGATCTTCGCCGAGCGAGTTTCGATCGATGCCGAGTCCTCGTCAGACGACCTTTTCGGCCTCGTTTCGTCAGACGCGATCATTACTCTCGACCAAGCGATCGCTGCGGAGTCCTACCTGGACGAAGCTTGGCGCTGTGCGCTGTGTCCTGCGTGTGGTCACGAGATGCCGTAATCCAGTCTAGGACAGTTTCAGGGTTCAGGTGCAAACACCATCCTGGTTGAATTCACCATCTAGTGCAAACACCATCCTTCCTTTTGAACCCTGTGATGGCTTCCAAACGCCGCCAACGCACGCCTATCGCACGCCTCCCTGGCACCGCCCTCCTTCCGACCCTCAGCGCTCCACCTGCCGAGAGCGCGCACTTCCGCAATACCGTGGACAAGGGCGATTTGGAGGAAGGCTTCAAGGCCAGTGACCTCGCGCCTCGGGCCATTCTTCAAGACTCATGACGATTTTGGCACGGGCGGGTCTGGACATCTGGGTGTTGAAATTCGAGGGTCTATATAGAATTGCTGTCTTTTTGGAGGATAAGGCAAGATATACAGGGAGATGTCCGGGAGGTCCCATTAAGCGCATGTCCGGGGTGTGAGGACAGACGGGATGTCCCATTCACCGCCCCAAACCGGCGGAGAACCTCGTTCTCCACGTCCGGTTTGAAGAAGGAAACGCCCCGGAGGAACCGCTATGGCCGCCATGCAAGATACATAAGGCACACACCCAACACCAACACGTGGAGAGCCTGGACCCGGGATCTTTTTTTCAACATTTCAGGACATTATTTATGTAAAATTTAATGTAATTCCAATCATTATTCTGCGTGGGATTTCGGAATATGCCTCAAACACTCCCCTGCTACTGTATGCAGAGGTCCAGGATGCTGTCTTGGCATTCCTGGTCAGGTAAGCCAAAATCATCATATTCACTCCTGACTCCCAGCACGGGTTGGGGTCATGGACCCCTTCCACTGGTTGACCAAAAGTCCATGTGCTGCGATGTGATTTTTGTTACCCTATAGGGCTCCAGTGGTACCTTCCTTTCGGTTCGGACAGACGGGGCCCGGGCCAGGAGGGTCCAGTCCCTGAGGAGCTATGACTGTGAAGTCACGTGGCGTCACGCGCCGTGCGTCACGTGCCGTGCGTGACGCGTGACGCGTGTGTTGTGAGGTCTTTGAGGGGACTACCTACGTCATCGGACAGCATGCCTTCCCTTTGGAGAAGCAAACTGCGCTGGCCGTGCCCGAAGAGAAGAAGGGCATGACGGTCCCTCACTCGGCGGGTTTGGTGGTTTTTCAGATTGTTCTTTTTTGTTCTGTTTCCTGGGGTGGTTCTTCTTGTTCATGTGTTTGTTGTGGTGATATCGTTACAATGTTCATGGTTTTGTGAGTTTTCTGTATAGTGTGATGTTGGCTGATTTGTTGTTGGTGCCTATGCTACTCCTAACATATTGATCCATCGCTGAAATCACGACCTATTTACAAACACCTGACCTAATTATGCACTATATATCACCATTAACATCCCCCTGTCAATTCCTGCATGAAATGAAGGGGGCCGGCTCATTTTTAATGAAGTATGACCCCCACGGGGGTGGGGGGGTTGGCTCCTGATTTCATAGAGAAGATGTGGGTTTTATAGCATTGCATTCAGTGATTGAAATATTAAGTATGTTTGCTCATACTTTGGCTTTTAGATGCTTTTCATTCACCTGTTTCAGGGGTTCGATGCACTCGTTTTATAGGGATTCCATTTGGGTGGGGTAATCATTTTATATACCAAGGGGGTGGTCACCCTCACCATATCTATAAAAAACATTGACTATAGGACCTACATAATTTTTTTTCATGTTCTCACTCATGTTCCCTTCCACCATGGGTGTCCCTTTCCTCGTTTCCTTCACTTCGCCCCGTCCCGACCGCCGCTCCGCCGCGTCCCTTTCCTCGGTTCAGGTCTGGCACTCCACGCAGGGCCACGACTTCACACGAGCCAAGCACCTCGGGCGGTTGGGACGATGCGTCGCAAAAACACGTCCCAAACCTGCGTGGAAGCGCGGAACCGCGGACATCCGCCTCTTTTTGGGTTCTGCGATTGGGAGCCAGAGCCGGACATATATCGGATTTGGTTCCAAATCGCTGGCAATTCAGCTGTTGGGAGGATGGAACGCAAGTTAGCAAGCGCAGCTTGATGCAGGGCTGTATGTAGCTTTGCTTGTTGGTGGCCGGACAGTCCAGGTATTGGAAACAGATTGTATCTTGAGTATGAAATAGATTTGATTTGTATATAATTTGGAGGTGAAGGACGTGGAGCTGAAGCAGATCACTGCATATACATCCCAATTTGAATGGACCCAGTTTGGAGTTCTCAGAGTGGATGTTCCGAGATCAGAACCAGATATGTTTCAAGCAAAATGGGCGAACCCAGATATTGTACCATAACAGTTGGACCCAAATTGGAACATCGGTCCTTCTCTTCGGATCCGTCGCGAGGCTCGCGGGAGTCCTGGGTGTCCCTGGCTCCTCCGTGGTGCCCTGGCCGGTCCGACGGACGAGAGTCCGGTCCCCGGTCCCGTCAAGAAAAGGAGGTCACATACCTCTTTGGAGTCTGTAATGATACGGTGACCTCACTTCGGGACAAATCGTGACGGACCCACTGGGATCTCAAATCACGAACTGACGGTCCTGGTATATAGTCAACTTGAAGACGTGAAGCTATTCCGAACCCTTGTTGTTTCGTTGCTTGTTTTGTTTTGGGTGGGTGGGTCAAATTGTTCTTGGTGTCCATTGCATGGATTGGGCAGCGTCCCGACAGTCTAAAGTCGTCTCAATAATTTGTTCATACTTGTTCTAGATGTTGCAAGGCTTTACGTATGAAAAGCTGTGTGTGTGTTATGGTTCGGCTGCCCCATGAGCTCACGTGTTGATCACATGTTGATGCAGTCTGAGAATTCAGAGGATGGACCTGCGTCGTTTAGCATTTTGCATGCCTGGGGCTCTGAGGCCAAGAAGAAAGGAAGACAAGACCCTGAACCTTCAAAGGTAGCAGACATTTCATAAAATTCATGTTACAAATATTAATGAAGCTCCTCAATTAAAGGAAAGTGGTCCAACTTTCACTCGGCCTTTCCCTTTTGGAACCATTTCAGGTCCATTCCACCCCGATCGCCTTCATTGGACTCTTCATTGGTTAGTTTCCATCTGTTGAAGACTACTGACCAAGGTGAGGGAGAACCAGGTGGAGGGAGGTTGAGAAAAGCACTTAAAGCACATGCTAGACGCAATTGCGTCTCATTTAGCTTTTTCAAAGTGATCAGTTTTGGAGTTCCCTAGTGACCTCAAACCCAAGTACAGTAATTACGCATGGCCTCGATCTGATTTTTGAAGGATTTTCCCAAACCAAGTCCAGGAAATGGATACCTGGCAACATCCTGCAACCGTATAGGAGATTAATCCGCCTGGCCCACCTGAGCTCTGGCTTATGCGGATTACATGCGAATTTCCCCTGGCCGCTTCGACTGTTCCCACCCGAGGTGTGCAAGCAAAGCCGCGCGGGCGGCGCCTTTGGTCCCAAGAACAGCCGCCAGGTGCCGACGGCCGCCATGGCAGCGGTGGCCGCGCACAAGTGGCCCGAAATGGAGTCGGTCAGCGAGACAGGGGGAGGTCTATAAGGCCTATGGGGATCCTGGAGGGGCCTAATCTAGATAGATCATTTGAAATGGCACCAATATATCATTGTCATGGCCTTTTTTCAAGAAAACATGCCAAACACGGCGGCGTGATGTTTTGTGTCGTCCAACTATACTTACATCCTCAGAAGGTCAGAAGGTAGTTGGAACTCTGAGTATCTCCAAACACCTCCTCATGATGCGATTCGGAACAAGCCGACGTCTCGGGTCGCCGCAGTGGTATCAGTTTTTGTTCCCCGTGAAACAGGGAGCCGTAACCGGAGCAAAAAGGTAGTTTGTCCGTCTTTTGTCCGTTTTATGTTTATGTTTCAAGCAGATCAGTGTAAACATCATGTCAGGCAGTGGCCAGCCTCCCAGATCCCAAGAGACCCCCTCAATGACTCCCTCACTTAGTGAGAATTCCAGACCGGTCGGGCTTGGTGTTTTTCGGCATGCGACCAAGCGGCGTGCAGATCGGCATTGGCCCCTTGGCACCCATCCCATCATTGGGGGTCACTGGGGATCCTGATATTGCGGACAAATCCATGGTCCCTCATAACATGCCGGACAAATCCGGGCTTTGGTAGGCAGGGTCACACTCTTTGTGGCGACAAGATCCGGTGCATGCAGAACAACAATGGGATCTCCCAAATGAGGTGGTCACCTCATGCCACAAGATACGGTGCATGGTCACCCAAGATACAGCGATCTGCCCAAGAAATCCCGCTTGGGGAGGTCATGAGAAGCCCCATTTGCATGGGCCCGTGTGAGGGCACGGGTCATCGAATGGAATGTATCCCTTTTGCCTCCAAGAACCAACCAACTCTAGATAGAACTCCTGATCAATCGTGCTTCCCTAGAGCCCTAGAGCCCACGAAGACCCGGGCTTTGATAGGAAAGGACAATGTTTGTTGGTCACTCAGGTTCTAAATCGGATTTGTTGTGGATTTGTCCCTTCTCCTTAGCAGTGAGGGACACAGATGGGAGCCTATCCATTTGTAGTTTGCCGTTGTGTTCTGCGGAGACTGTTGCATCGAGATAAGAGGGCACCTTTGGACAATCTTGGTCTTAGCATGTCTTAGCTCATTCCTAGCAGCCTTGGTTTTGAATAGTGGGACTAGCACCTATAGTTGGTGTCTCCAATATGCAGCACCTTCCCAAAAGGATCCTTCTTTGATCCAAGCAGGCACTCATTCTGAGGCTAGACAAGGCAGTGCGTGTGGCTTATGAAGCTACCCTGGAGCAGTTAGCGGTCGGCGGCCGACACAGCTTCAAGACGCAGTACAAGGCCGTCCGCCACGTGGACCGTGTGGACGTGCGGTGCGGTGCGTCTCCGCATGATGTGTGGGGAGCATCATCTTGGCTTGATTGGAGGTTGTGGGGATAAACACTTATTATATAATATATTAATATCACATGAACCGAGGTTGCTTGTTTATTGCAAATTGAAGGCAACTTGATCATCAATGACCTCCATGCCTAGAGCCCATTTGAGCCCTGTCTTGATAGGAAACGACCATATATATAATTAGGGGTCCAAAATAGAGGTCAGTCAGGTTCTATATAGGTATGCGGCGTATATACTTTGGATAGTCATCCAGCCGCCCTGTCCATCTCCCTGGTAATTTGGATCTCAAAATTATGGTCCCGGGGGGAAATGGCGATGGTAGCGAGCTCTTTACTCGCCCTTGGGAGAGCGAATCGCTCGCTCGCTCGGGCTGACGTGCTGGGGAGGTTGGTGTGAACAAGGACGGCAAGATCCAAGCGTGGCTCGGCAGAGACGATCCGCGCTCCGGCGGCTTGGGCGGATCTCGCACGTGATCCCGGCACTGATCCCAAGAGGTCCCAGGGGAACACGGACATACGACGTGGGCGAAATGAAACGGATTCCTTCAACCGGGGTGGTGAACCGGTTGACCGGAGCACATTGGGGAATGAATGATGGAATTCATTTGAACATTGGTCCGGCTCAGTTTGAGCAGCAATCGATTCATATCTTCTTTGTTGCAATGAAGAACAATGTCCCTTACGAATCTCAGCCAAGATGCCTAGACTTGACCAAGAAAGATAAGAACACAAACAGCAAACTTGTGCGTCTTTGCGTCTTTGGTGGTTATTCTCGACCCCGGTCCAACACCAGGTCTGAACTCTCCAGCCAGCTGAGTGGGTGCGCCCAGTAGCCTCATAGACCATACCCCCCCACCAAAAAAAAATTACGGCCACCAAACACCTTGCATAAACCTTGGCAACCACCTCTTTGTCTCCTGCATCGCCCCTCACACAGTGTCTTCGCTCGTCTCACTTCACAGGTGCAACGTGGAATCCTGGTGCAACGGCGGATGCACCCACGACTTCACAGGACGCGAGTCACGCCGTGAGCGACTGGATGCGACACGGTCGGACGGACTGGATGCGCGGTGCGTTTCTTCGGTGAAGGGATATTTCTTTTTGAAGTGGTTTAGGGCTCGAGATCGCCGTCGACGGACGGAAAACTTTTGAAGCCCCAGTGCAAAGGCACGTGTTTTTCCTTTCGCGGTCCTTACTTGCCTGAGCCATACCTCACCCTCGCTCTCCGGGCTGGCATAGGCACTTACGCGCTGCTAGGGCCAGGGCTCGCAGATTCCTGAGATCTGTACGCCACTCTGGAAAGAGGCTTTCAAGTCTCTGGACTAAGGCTGTCAGCTGCAAGGCCTTCCTTGAAAGGCATCATACAAGACCCGTCTACAAGCTCCACTACCCGGGAGCTGTGCCAGGGATGCCATGGAAGGGATATCCCTATCAGCAGACATGGTCGACCCAAGACTGGACCTGGGAGAAGCAGCCTCGGAAGAGGGACAAGGGCAAGGCCAAGACAGAAGAGGGGACAGTCATCTACGACTACGAAGGAAAAAGAATCGATGTACAAGGAGCTTCTTCGCGGGCCTCATCTGCATGGTCTGGGCCTGGTCAAGCCGAAGCTGCCTTAAAAGAAGAGAACAAGAAGTTGAAGCAGGCTTTCCGAGATTTGGCTGCTCGTGTCAATCCCCGAGATGGTCTGATCTCAGACGATGTCAAAGACATCATAGAGATCGACCCAAGGGAAGATCTGAAAGAGAGGCAAAGGCTCCTCAACGAGGAGCGCAAGCAGCTGAACAAAGCCACCAAGTTGAAAGACACACTGCAAGAGAAGGAGTCCAAGTACAGCCAATGGAAAGCAGATATGGAAGCTGGACTCAAGATTGCAGAAAAGAAGCACTCCCATCAAGTGGCGGAGCTCCAGGAGGCTGTAAAATCGGCCGAGAAAGGGGAGGAAGCTTTGCAAGTGGATTCAGACTCCGAGGTGGATGGGAATCCAGCCAAGATGGAGATCAAGATCCTGAAAGACCAATTGCAGCATTTTATGACCTATGCTGCCAGCATGGAACAACGACAGCAACAGATGCAGGAACAAATGATGATGGTGCTCACGGCAATTCAGCCGCAGAATGGACCGATAGGTTTGGGGCGAATGTCCCCTCAGCAGCCGGTCCGTGTAAAAAGAGAGCACGAAGAAGGAAGTGGAGAGGACTGGAAGGACAGAAGACGCTCCAGATCTCGACCTCGTCGAGACGAGAAAGAAGTGGTGCTTCCGGTCGATGGAATCGAAGTTCTGGACATGCAGACGGTCAAGGAGAATATCGAAAGCTTGCCAGAACCTTGTCAGTTGAAGATTTTAGACATCCTCAAGGCAGACCCGGGTGCATTCTGCACCTTGGAACAGCTCCAGAGCCTGATCGATGTGCAGATGAAGGAATTCCAAGCCAGTTTGAAGCCGCAGATGGGGTCAAGTGCAGCCCTCATGCCTTTTGGAAAGGTGGGTACTCCAAAGGCAAGGAGAACGGCAACACCTTATGTCTCCCCCAATTCGACATTGAAGGCTGCCGGGAAGACTGCGGCTTCGCCATTGGGAGCTATGAACTAGCAACTCAAGGGAGATGTGTTTCACTGAATGATTGCGCCAGATTTCAAGGCAGCAATGAGCTTCACCCTAGTTTCCTTGCTATACCAGATGGGTCTGGTACAGTGCTTTTTTCTCACATGTTTGTACCGGAGAAGGATGTCACGATTTTCGATCTTTCTCAAGTTGCACTACAGCAGAATTTGAGTGCTGCCAATTCTTCATATGAGCTTCGAAGTTTCAATAGCGAAGACGATAAGAGTGGCAGTGTCAATCAAGCCAATTTCCAAGAAGAGCTGCACGAGGAATCACGGCGGATTGTTGCAGCTGTGCCTGTGTGGGTCTGGAGTGTATCCAAATCCTTGAGCATTTTCCGGGGTGCTGCACAGTTCGTTGGCCTACAATGTCTCTTTTTTCTTTGGGCTTGGAGCTTAGTTTTTGGTGCTAAGGCAATTTTGGGAAGTTTCCAATCTGAGTTCCGATCCGTGAAAAGGCACAAGCTGTACCGTTGTCCTTCGAGACACTTTCTTGTTGAAGCAGGTGCTTATTTTGCTGTGTCGGCCAGCATACTTCTTGGAGCTTTTGAGTGTGTGAGAACGCCGGATGATGAGCACCCTTGGGTTCACGTGCTCTTCGGTTTGAGATCTCTTCACTTTCTCTGGGGAGGTTTCCTGATGTTTTGCACAGTTCTTAGATTGTATTGCCTTCGCTCCCCTAGGTGGCCATATGCATGCCGTCATGTGTGCAAAGCCAGACACTGTTCGACGCATGGTCGAGCCAAAAGCATTAAGATGAAGGGACTCTTTATGCTGGCGAACCTTGTTTTTGCGAATGCCCGACCTCTGACCGAGAGAGCACTGGGTGCTCCAGGCTTTGAACAAGGTTTTGATATGACCAAGAGTAACCATGATGGTTCCGCTCTTTGGCCAATTTGCACAACAAGTAAGGGAAGAGATGGATGTTTCTGCTTTCCCCACTGCGTGAGTCACTGGGATGATGCCGAATCTCCTGCTCCACAGATTGCACTGCTAACGACCTACCAGAGTTATAGCAGTCCACATCCAAGCCGTCTGTCCTCTCAGCCTTGCGGGACTGACGGGCTGCACTGTCTTTTGAGACTTGACGCAGAAGGCTTTGTCCGAGATTTCTGCTTTGCTCCTAGGTTTTGTCTTGAGTCAGTCACGACAAGTGTGAACTCATCAAGGTTTTGTGAAGTGAGCAACCGGATTTCTTGTGCACATGTTCCTCACTGTGGTGAACTTTGTGCTGTGCATGTCTCAATCCCACATTTTGATGCCAGTGTTTCACTGCCAGGTAGTGGGAACTACGAAGCTATTCCTAAACCGAATATACGAGACTCTGCGGAAAATGCCATGCAATATGAAGATGCAGCTTTGATGCAAGTAGGGCCACCGACCGAGGATTTGATTGCACGATATATCCGAGAAAATGCGATCAATTTCCGAGACACGCAGATCATTGTATGGTTTCACTCCGCTGAGTCACTCAGACGAGTTCAGGCGACCTTTCAATATGTTGCCTACATTCATGACCTCCCGGCTGGACCTCAATGTCGTGCCTGTTGGGCGAACATGCTTGACCGCAGACTGTGTTTTGTACACCCTGTACGACCGGTCCCGCCACAAAATCCAGTTGATCTACCCCAGGTGATTGTGACTCCTGTAAGGGATGAACGACTTGTGCCTGTCCTGATTGACTACATTTCAAGAGATGTCACCTTCCGTGGAACGTTTCTTCTTCAGATCACCGCGGACCCTGTTGTGAACTCGGCCTTCATCCAAATCAATCCTCACAACCAATGTGTTTGGCAAAATGATTGTTTTGTCATACTGCAAAGAAGAGCCGGGCCTGAGCACTACCAGTGGGGAACGAATTTTCCTCTTTTTGAAGGATTGTACTTCATGATGGTCGAACAGACTCCTGAGTCGAGCACGGGATCATCAACTTGCGACCAGTCTGGTGATGATTCTAACACTGATGATGACACTGATGACGAAGAATCACAGGACTCTTGTCGTGCTCGACTAGAGCACCCTCCAGAGCTTCAGTTGCCTGGTTTTTCACTTGTGCAGACAGAATGGGAGCTTCTTTTTGAAGAGGAAGAGCAATCCTTCCGTGACCATCTCGGATTGCCAAGCCAGAGTAGTCGCGAAGATGAATTCTGGTATCCTTCTACTGGAGTTGTCCCAATTGAAGAGCATACTGGTGTTTCTGACCGACTGGAACTGATGCTTGAATCACTAGGGCTAGTTGAACCGGGGCAAACATTGGCTGTGACCACCTGGATGACCGAGCTCTATGTGGCTATCCTGCCTCGAACTTGTGTCTATCAACCAGGCAGGCCGATGACCAAAAGTTTTGCCACGGTATGGCGGGACTTTGAAGACCACTCGCCGTTTTGGGTTGCTCATGTGACGCCGGTTCCGCAGCCTTTGAGTTTCCAAAGACAGCCTTTGCACTTAGCCAGTCTTACGAGAGCACAGAAAGAGCGTAAGCAGAGATTGTTCATCATTGATATTGTCTTTCGAGGCCTGCCGAAGAGAGCTGGAGTGCTGGTAGATAGAGGCGATACAGTGCGACAGATTGCCATCAAATTTCAGCTGGCACATTTGTGCTCGCAAGAAAACTACCGATGTGTCTTGCGACAGACTCGGAATGGTCAAGACAGGGCTTGGGGCTATTTCGAAACGGTAGAAGAACCTCATTGGCTCTAGTTTTGTTCTGCACTTTGAAGAGAGGAATCGGGCTAGCTGTGGATGCACGTCTGATGAGACTGATGCCAGTATGCTCATGCAGAGGCCCCGTTCCTGGCACCCTTCGCCCTTGCAAGTATATTTGAGGGCCTTCAGTTCGAGCCGTATCCCTGTTTTCATTTGGGTCCATCATGGTGAGAATGAACTGGTCCAGCATCAGTCGGGGACATGTTCGGTCGATGTGAGGCATGATGTGGAATCCCAATGTGAACATCATTGGATGACAAGTGGCCTTCCTAGATTTAGCAGAGTCACTGAGATTGATCCTCCTCCTGTTTTGATTGCTGTCCCCAGGCCTCATTTAGTGGTCACCAGTTCTTTTGATACGAGTGATGTGCCTGTTCTGTGCCAGTCAAACATCGATGGAAGAGTCAGTTTGATGACACTTGTGGTGAGCGCCAGATATCCACCTGTCTCTGTATCAGAGATTTTCGCACTTGCGATTCCTCAACATGATTGCGAACATGCTTCTGAATGCTATATCCTCTGGGAACTTCGGCGCTATGAATATCATCATGATATTGCACCGCTCCATGGTTCCTTTCTGAGGGTAGTTGAATGGACAGTTGAAGGTTCAGATGTTTCTACTGGTGTCTGCAGCGATGATATCATTGATGATGATACTGCTGATTGGGAGTCAGACTTCTCAGGCAGGCATTATCGTGTTTT